CCTCGCCGGGCCCCGCTCCGCCCCGCCTTCCCCGTCCGGCCCGCCCCTTGCGGACGCCGGCCGCGGTCTAGGCGGGAAGGTGCTCTGAGCGGAAGATGTCGGGTTTTTGCGAGGCTCGGGAGGAGAAGGCGGGTTCCAGGCCGCGACCCCAGGTGAGAGTGAGCAACCAGTTGACTCTTCCCAGTGTTCTCTCACAGTCTTCGGGACTTCGTGAAGGATCTGTCAGGCATAGGGCCGGGAGGTTGCGGGAACCCGGCACAGGACACCTCTCCACTCCAAAACTTTCCCGCCCCTTGGGGCAACTCTTCGCTTGCTGGGCTTTTCGGGGTGTTGCTTTTAAAAAAAACCATTTGATTCCTGAAGTGATTTCTCTGTATAGAAAATTAGGTCTTTAGCTTTGAGTAATTTTTTATCAATAACCCTAGAAATACTGTAGTGGCAGGATCAGATTTGGGACGCCCTTTCTACCTGCATTTGCTTTGGCAACAGTTTTTAACAGCGTCACACTCCAGCGTCACTCGGAAGCTGACGATTGGAGTAATCTCATAAATTATAAATGATAGTCATTATTGTTAGACTGGCAAACTCGTATGGACAAAAAATGTGCTCTGTATAATAAATACTTAATTCTGTTCAGTTTAATGAAGTAGATATTTAGATTTTGGAGGCTTTCCTTATAGGCTATCATTTTGGAGTTCTCTTGGTATCGTAAAATAGAAATTAGATTTGTTTACAGTCGTCTGTTGAGGACCCTGTAAGAAAAGTCATAGGACCTGAGATTTTAATGCTCTGTTTTCCTTTATTGACCTGACTAGGTGAATGAATATAAAGAAAATCAAAACATCCCTTACGTGTCTCTGAGACCAATACCCAGGACAGTTTTAGAAAAAACAGTTACAGTTCACCTTGCTGCCTTTTCATGCAATGACAAGGTTGACCAATTTCAGCACTCCAAATCCCTATTAGAAAAGAATTCTAATAATGAGCTGCTGTGTAAGAAGATTGAAATAAAGAAAACTAGCAGAGGGATTTTAACTCCAAAGATGGAAGCCACATCTTTCAGAGCAGAATCCACTCTGCAAAAATCATCCTTAGATGTTCATCGTGAAAGTAACACGCGACTACACAAGAGCTCTTCAGAGGCAGTGATTCTCAGTGTTGATATGGAAAGCAGTCAGGATGGAGACAGTGATGAAGATACCACGCCAGGCCTGGTAAGAATTTAATTAGCAGCTTGTTTTAAGTTTTGTTGTTGTTGTTGTTATGTGCCGTCGAGTCAAACCCGACTCATAGCGACCCCTCCTTGGGTTTCCGAGGCAGTATCACTACGGAAGTAGGATTGCCCAACCTTCCTTCCGAGGAGTGGCTGGTGGGTTTGAACCGCCAGCCGTCTGGTTAGCAGGCAAGTGTGTTAGCCACTATGCTACCAGAGCTGACTCAACGGCACATAACAACAACAATTTTAAGTTTTACTGATTTGAAATTTGAAGTTCTGGTAAACTAAGGCTATCAAGGCTCTCTTTACTTCAGATTATTTTATGGTCTAACTTCAATTGAAAAAAAATTTTTTAAATGTTTACCAATAGCTTGGTTTAATTTTGTACTTGATTTTGATGTGTCAAGGACAGAATTGACTTAATCATCACTCAGCTTTCCTTTGTACCTTCTCAGTCTATTGCATTGTTTTTTCTTGTAAAAAAAAAAAATTTACCATTTTTTGTATATATTTTTGTATTTATACGTTCTTTTTAGTGCCTTACTCACTTTCACGTATTTATGCACATTGTGTCAGAAGTCTGCTTGTGGGACACAGGGCACTTGAATGACCCTTGATGAGGAGGAAAACTATCATTATTTGCATTAATGTGCTGAATAATATTTCTTTTGAAATACAGAGAGACAAATGGAGTAGAGAAACATGAGAAACATTTACTTGTTCTGTTTAAAATAAGTTTGAATCAGTTTAAGGATTTGCATAATCTAATTCCTTTGGTTTCTCCTTCCTATCTGAGTGCTGTAGTGTGTTCAAAGTGATAAATTTAGTGCAGGACAAGATGAAACCACACCACATGACAAAAATTTGATGGATGTAAGAGAACAGAAAATACTGGTAGGAAAAGGGAAATATGATAATTTAACTATTGTCCTGCAGTAGGAATTAGATTTATGCTTTATTGCCCCAGAGGTAAAAACCAGGACCTGGGGTGGGGCAGCATGGGCTAATTACTAAGTGTATTGAATGGGGGTGGTGGGGGGTGAGTGTGGGGTGGGGGGGTGGGTGGAGGAGCTTGGGTTCCTGGGTGCTGGCCACTCCTAAGGAATCTTGTGCCTTAGGCAAATCATCTCTACTGTGAGGGGGTTGATTGACATCATTGATTCTCAAACTTCAGCCTACCTCTTTCAGCCTACCTCAGAATTACCTGTCCGAAGAAAAAAACAAACTCATTGCCATTGAGTCTATTTGACTCACAGTGACCCCTCTTTGGGTTTCTGAGGCAGTACTTCTATCTAAGTAGATTGGCCAATACTCCTGAGGCGTGACTGGTGAGTTTGAACCGCCAGCCTTCTGGTCAGCAGTCAAGTGCCTTAGGCACTACGCAGCCAGAGCTCCCAGAATTACCTTTAGAGTTGTTAAAACACAATAGCTGCACCCCCCCCCCTTTCTGATTAAAAAATTCTGGGATGGGGCATAGAATTTGCAGTTTCTTAAAAATGGTGATGATGCAGTTCTGGGACTGCACTTTGAGCACTACTGGATTAGATTATTTCTTTGGCCTTTTAGTCTGCAAGATTCTGAGTGTGTGAGGCCGATTTTAGTTTGATGTAAGGAAATACGGTCAGAAATTACAACATGAGGTAGTGAATACTATAGCACTGGAGAGGGTCAAATATTTGTAAATGCTCAATATACGTTTTCTTAGGCCAAACTGTAAATACAACATTTTTTTATTGAACATTTCATTCTCTTTTTCTCTTCTCTTGCATTGTATATTTTGGACTAAGGTTTTGTAGTACTGTGTTTTGGAAACTGGTTAGTTTATAAGCTTACTCCTTTCCAAATGAAGGAAGGCTTTTGTCACAACACAGACGAGTCATGACCTTCAAGTCTAGGATTTTATTCTATTTTATGGAAAAGTCTCAAAATTTTATCTCCCAGCCCTTTTATTAAATATTTTTATTTTACAAAGCATGTCTTAACAGTTAATTGAATGTTTTTCTTCCTTTTTTTTTTTTAAATTGTGATTTGGGTGAAAGTTTATAGAGCAAATGGGTTTTCCATTCCGTAATCCATACACACTGTTTTAATTTTTAACATTTTAAGATAATTTTAGACTTATAGAAGAGTTGTAAAAATTGTACACAGTTCCCATATGCCTTTCAACCAGCTTCCCTTTATGTCAACAGCCTATGTAACTAAAAACATTGATCAAACTAAGAAATTAACTTTGGTATAATACTATTAACTGAAGAACAGAATTAATTAGGATTTTACCAGTTTTCTCACTAATGTCCTTTTCCCATCCAGTAACCAATCCGGATTCCATAGTACATTTAGTTGTCATGACACAAGTCTCCTTCAGTCTGGGACAGTTCTTAAGTATTCTTTGATGACCTTCACACCTTTGAAGAGTTGTTGTTGTTGTTGTTTGCCATCGAGTCGACCCCGACTCTTAGCGACCCCTCCTTGGGTTTCCGAGGCAGTATCACACTTTGAAGAGTAGTAGACAATTATTTTGTAGGATGTCCCTCAATTTGAGTTTATCTGATGTTTTCTCATAATTAGATTGTGTTTTTGTATTATTTGGGAAGGATACCAGAAGTGATGTGACCTTTTCAGTGTAACATACCAGGGCATTAGGAAGTTTTTTGATTGTGTGCACAGGTGTAGGTCTTTCTTTTCATTCATTGTGCTTTATGCACACTCATTGGGCCCTTTTAAGTTGGAAATGCATGTCTTCAATTTTGAGCAACTTTCTTGTATTATTTATTTATTTATGTTTTAAAATGCATTTCCTTCTTCTCAGCTCCCCACCCCCAAGAACTGTTAGATATTAGACCTCTAAGATTTATTCTCCAGGTTTTTTGTCTTTTCTGCCCAGGTGTTTAGTGTACTCTTTTGTTTTGGCTCTCTCTTCTAAATTTTCTTAAGCTCAGTAAATTTTAAAATTTCTATTAATTCTTTCTTGTTCTTTGAATTTTCCCATTTGATGTATCCTACTTGGGAGCTCTGGTAGCATAGTGCCTAAGGCACTTGACTGCTAACCAGAAGGCTTGACTTTCAAACCCACCAGCCACTCCTCAGAAGGAAGATTGGGCAATTTATTTCCCTAGTGATGTTGTTGTTGTTGTTATGTGCAGTATCACTACAGAAGTAGGATTGCCCAACCTTCCTTCCGAGGAGTGGCTGGTGGGTTTGAACTGCCAGCCTTCTGGTTAGCAGGCAAGTGTCTTAGCCACTATGCTACCAGCTGCCTCGGAAACCCAAGGAGGAGGGGTCCCTATGAGTCAGGTCTGACTCTACGGCACTTAACCTCAGAAACGGATTTTTAGGAGGGAGTAGAGACAAATGCATTTGTTCACTCTGCCCTGTTTAATGGAAATTTTTTTGTTTAATGAAAAGAAAACTTTTAGGAAAAAAACTTTTGAGTAGTAGTACAGTTAATGGCTACTTGGAACTAGTTTACCATTAGGTTATGCTGTTTAACTATTTTTAATATTGGATCACTTTTAATTAATTAATTAATTAGAACACTGTACAAATATCTTATGGTTGTCCCAAATTCAAACTCACTTAATATTTAACATAGCACAATTATGTGCTGTTTGGTAAGAGCATGAAATGAAGAGAGAAGGTGGAATATGAAGTAAAGTATGCATGTAGAGATTTTGTGAGGTACTTTTGCCATGAATTAAGTAAAGTAAAATTTTCTTGGTGTTATTTTATAGGATGATTTTTCAGGATTATCATCATATGAAAGGAAGAGACTAAAGAACATAGCAGAAAATGCAAACTTTTTTGCTTCTCTTCAGTTGTCTGAGGTTTGTATGGAATCTCTTTTAATTAAAACCAGGAAGCTGTTTCTCCTCTCACGTAGTTCCATAGGATACTCATAGTATCAGTTTTCATAGTGTCAAAGGAGGGGAAAATTAGGAGTAGGTTTTGCTCTTACTAGGAAGAGGTTGCTGTATTTCATTGATTCTAAGACATGTTTTTTCACATTTAAAAATTTCTAAAGTTGACATCTTTGAGTTATAATTAGCACATTTTTTCCCCTTTTTTGGTGGTACATAAAATAATGATATATTTTGATTGGCTGTCTTAGATTCAAAGAAATAAGATATGTTCCAAATTGTTACTTTAAATAAAGGATGAAGAAGAACACATGTGGAAGTGGGCTAAAGGATGTGTGGTACAGGAGTGAGCGAACAAAAACTTTGTCTTTTTTTAAGTTTTCAACTTTAAGAATAGATGGGGGTGTAATTTATGTAGGAGCTCTGGTGGCGTAGTGCCTAAGACATTTGACTGCTAACCAGAAGGCTGGCTGTTCAAACCCACCAGCCACTCCTCGGAAGGAAGATGGGTCAAACTATTTCCATTGTGATACTGCCTCAGAAGCCCAAGGAGGGCTCACTATGAGTTGGATCCGACCCGACAGCAGTGAGTTTGGTTTTTTTTTTGGGGGGATGCTGCATATGGAGAGCTTTAAGGATAAATTGTTGTTGTTGTTGTTATTATGTGCCGTCGAGTCAAACCCGACTTATAGCGACCCCTCCTTGGGTTTCCGAGGCAGTATCACTACGGAAGTAGGATTGCCCAACCTTCTTTCCGAGGAGTGGCTGGTGGGTTTGAACCGCCAGCCGTCTGGTTAGCAGGCAAGTGTCTTAGCCACTATGCTACCAGAGCTCCCTTAAGGATAAATAGCTAATGTTTTATGGTCGTTATAACTAATGGTATAATTTATATTGTTGTCTTCACACTGAAAGTAAAATTTTGATGGGTAAGAGAATAACTGTTTAGAAGGGTGTGTTTTATTTTCCCCAAAGATATCAAACTAAATCCTAAATGCTTTCTCTGAATTGCAGATTCTCGGATATTCAGTTTGTGTTTGCTTCTTGGGGAGAGGGAGGGCAAATTACTTGAAGAGACTAAATTGTTGAGTCATTAACAGTTGAAAATCTATCAGAAATTTAGACAAAGTAATTATGATCTTAATTAACAGAAAATATGATTTGATCTCTAGTAGTGTAACGTGTAATTTTTTGGAAAGTATCAAAGTAGGTTTGTACTTTAGTAGAACTTAAACCTTTTAATTTGTAGTAGTATATTTGATTAAATAGTATATTTAGTCACGTAAATTCATTAGCAACTTGGTTCAAGGTGTCAGAATATTAGCACATTAAACTCAGAAGCTCATTGCCGTCGAGTATTTTAGGGTCTTTATTTCCTATATACACCTTAGTTTACTGTGTGTATAGTAGCAGGTATTTAGTATTTTTAAACATTAGCTATGTAGCTATAAAATAGCATATTTTGTGTGTTGTAGTCAGCTGCAAGACTCCGTGAAATGATAAAGAAGAGACAACCTTCTGAATCCAAGAGGTAAAAGATTTGGTTTATGATGCTTGGACGATGAAATATTCTGAGTTGTTCTATTATTTGAAAAAATGTTTTGGTATAATAAGCTAGTTAATAAAACAGCAACACTATAATTTAATCTTAATATCTATAGGATTTTTTAGAAAAAGTTACCTTTTAATAACTTTATAGTTCTCATTTTCACCAAAGGAATATAGAGCAAATAGAATCTCCAGAGCTAACTTTTGTTTATATTTACTGTTCTGCTAATGGAGGGAAATCTTCATTTCCACTAAGAGAGTCTTATTTTTACCTAGAAAACTATTATGCTTAAAGATCCTCCTACTCCTTTTGTTATTTTTCTGACCTTTACAATTTATTTTTTCTTTCTCATTCCTAGAATAAAAGAGGGAAATTAACATTTATTGAGCATATATAAAACACAGTGCAGTGATCTAGAAATTTTGTCCTATATTATCTCATTTAATTCCGGCAGTAACCATATATGGTAGACAATATATCCATTTTGTGACTTAGAAAACAGTTTCAAAGAGGTAATTTGCTCAAGATCAAGACAGCTTATACAAGGTAGCTCCTGAATTTGAACTCAAGCCTGTTAGATTCCTTAGCTTGAGTTCTTGCCCTCGCATTTTAAGAGTGTTTATGTATAAATGAAGAAACTAAAATCCTTGACATCATTAGTTCATTTGATTGGTTTGATTCTATTACAGGTCGATTAACTTGAGAAAAGCTAACCTTTTAATCATGGCCAGGTATTTATGAATGTGAAAATGAATATCAATAACATTGGAAAAACAGAAGCACTAGACTTGTTGCCAGCTTTATATTTGCATATTTTTAATTAACTAAGATTGATGATTTGTTCCCTGTACTTAGTCCTTAGTACAGAGAGTATCAAGCTGCTAGTGTGGTAGCTATATGGAAAAAACATAGTTGTTGTAATAAGACAAACTAGTTCAAGTTTTGGCTCAGCCACTTACGGCTATGATGTTAACCTTGGACAGTTACATAATTTTTTAGTCTCTTTCTTCATCTGTAAAATTGGCATTATGCTAAGCCAGAAGAGTTTAAATTCTTTAAGTTGTTAAATATAGTACATGTACAAAAGAAGTGCATATAACATGCTCATATAGTTGAAAGAAAAACCCTGGGGGTACAATGGTTAAGTGATCAGTTGCTAAGCAAAAGGTCAGTGCTCGGTACCTTTTGGACCAGCGTCTCTGATGGAGAAAAGACTTAATGATCTGCTCCTATAAAGATTAAAGCCTAAGATTCCCTATGGGGCAGTTCTACTCCATTATGTGGGGTTGCTGTGAGTTGTAATTGACTCTGCAGCACACAAGAACCACATAGTAAAAGTGTTAATACAAGTACCCATGTACCTGCCATCCAAGTTAATGGACATTACAGTACCTTTAAAGGCCCATTATACTTCTTCCTCCAGATAGAACTACTATCCTGAATTTGGTAATAATTATTCCTTGCATTTATTTATAGTTTTACCACCTATGAATGTATGCTTAAATAGTTTTCTCTGTTCTTGATAGTCACATACAGTATGATGCTGTTTATATATTCTTCTGGGTTTTTCTTTTTTCCGCCCATTTTTATATCTTTATGTTTTTAAATTCATTCATGTTAATGTGTACAGCTTTATTTCATTGATTTTTTTTTCCTGCCATATTATATTCTACTATGTGAATGGACTGCAGTTTTTCTGTTGTACCATTGATGGACAGCTAAGTTGTTTTTAGATCTTCATTCTTATGAAGAGTACTGATCTGGACATCCTTAAGTCTCTTGGTGCTCATGTATGAGTTTCTCTAGGAGTTGGAGACCCACTAGACTAGCAGTGTGTGAGAGTCCAAATTATTTCATATGGTCAGCCTTTTTTTTTGAAAGATTACGTGACATACTGAATGCTTAGTATAGTTTTTAGCACATGATACACTTTCAATAAATAATAGTTATTAATTATTATTGTTTTTAAATTTATTGTGGTTTGGGTGAAAATTTACAGAGCAAAGTAGTTTTCCATTGAATAATTTGTACACATTTGGTTTCATAACATCAGTTGCAGTTTTCTCAATGTAATGACACTCTTTTTGCTTCCTCCCTGGGTTCCCTGTATCCATTCATCCTTCTTTACTGCCCTTTCTGCATTCTTAGCTTTGCTTTGGGGGAAGTGCTGATCTTTTGGTCTCATATGGCTAATTGTTCTGAAGAGTAACTTTCTCAAAAGTGTTGTTGTTCACTTTATAGGGCTATTTCTTGTTTGGCTGGAAGGTATTCCCTGGGGGTGGGTTTAATTCCGGGTTAGAAGGGTATCTAAGAGTCACAGGCTCAGGTTCCACAAGTCTCTATCAAACTAGTGTAAGTCTGGTCTTTTTTATGATTTTGAATTTTGTTCTACATTTTCCCCCCAATCTGTCTGAGACCTGTGGTCTCCATCAGAGCTGTTAGCCAGGCACCATCTAGTTCTTCTGGTCTCCGGGTAGTGGAGGATGTAGTTTGCGTGGTCCATTAGTCCTGTGGACTAATTGCTTCCTTGAGTCTCTGTTTTTCTTTATTCATAAAGTTATTATTAATTCTTCTGAACTAATGTCGACTGCAGGGAGCTCTGGTAGCATAGTACCTAAGGCATTTGACTGCTAACCAGAAGGCTGGCAGTTCAAACCCACCAGCCACTCCTCAGAAGGAAGGTTGGGCAATCTACTTCTGCAGTGATACTGCCTCAGAAACCCAAGGAGGGGTCACTATGAGTCAGATCCGACTCGACGGCATTGAGTTTGGTTTTGGTTTTTAATGTGGACTATAGCTGAGAGCCTTCTCTTTTCCCTTTTTAAATTTTTTATTGTGATTTGGGTGCAAGTGTACAAAACAGATTCATTTTACTCTTTGAAAGTTCATAGATATTTTGTTTCAGGGCACTGATTACAATCTCAACAATAAACAGCTTTTTCCTTTTCCTTCCTGTGACTGCCCCTTCACTGTGTCCTTCTTATCTATGCATATCTTTCTGTCCAGCTTTCCCCCAATATAAATGCTGCCCTTCTGATGTTCAAGGTTGATAAATGTAAGGGTTGCATCTCCCTGGGGTAGGTGTTCTGTTTGTAGGCCTTTCTGCTATGTGACTGAGAGCTAATCCAGGGAAGTGAGTAGTTCGAGGCCTGAAAAATGATCCAGGTGTATAGTCTCAGGGGTTTAACCAGTCTCTGTCCAACCAGTAATTGATCATCTTTATGTTTTTGAATTTTTTCCACAGTTTTCTTCCCACTCTATCCAGGATCTCGTCTAATTTTAATCCCTTTCCGAGTAGTTGGCATTGCAGCTGGGCATCATCTAATTTTTCTAGTCTCAGGGTCATGAAAGCTGAGGTCCCATGGTCCATCAGACTGTTGGACTAATAGTCATTTCTATATGACTTTGATTTTCTTCATTCTTCTTTGCTCTGAGCGAGGGCGACCAATAGTTGCATCTTAGATGGCCACTAAAAAACTTTTTTTTTTTTTTATTAGGATTTGGGTGAAGATTTACAGAGTAAATTCACTTTTCATACAGCAGTTCACATATACTTTGTCTCATGTCA